GCCCGTGCCCGGGAGCGACGGCCCTGAGCGGCGCGGGGATACCGCGGGCGCCACCATGCAGCACCCGGGCCCGCGCCTGTGGCTGTTGCTGCAGGTGATGATGGGCTCGTGCGCAGCCATCAGCTCCATGGACTTGGAGCGCCCTGGAGACGGCAAGTGTCAGCCGGTGGAGATTCCCATGTGTAAGGACATCGGCTACAACACCACCCGCATGCCCAACCTGATGGGCCACGAGAACCAGCGTGAGGCGGCTATTCAACTGCACGAGTTTGCGCCGCTCGTGGAGTACGGCTGCCACAGCCACCTCCGCTTCTTCCTGTGCTCGCTGTATGCGCCCATGTGCACTGAACAGGTCTCCACGCCCATCCCCGCTTGCCGGGTCATGTGTGAGCAGGCCCGGCTCAAGTGCTCACCGATCATGGAGCAGTTCAAATTCAAGTGGCCGGACTCCCTGGACTGCAGCAAGCTCCCCAACAAGAACGACCCCAACTACCTGTGCATGGAGGCACCCAACAACGGCTCGGACGAGCCCAGCCGGGGCTCTGGCATGTTCCCTCCACTCTTCAGGCCCCAGAGGCCACACAGTGCACAAGAACACCCGCTAAAGGACGGGGGTCCCGGTCGCGCAGGCTGTGACAACCCGGGCAAGTTCCACCACGTGGAGAAAAGCGAGTCTTGTGCGCCTCTATGCACTCCGGGGGTGGATGTGTACTGGAGCCGCGAAGACAAGCGCTTTGCTGTGATCTGGCTGGCCATCTGGTCGGTGCTGTGCTTCTTCTCCAGCGCCTTCACCGTGCTCACCTTCCTCATTGACCCATCGCGCTTCAAGTACCCCGAACGTCCCATCATCTTCCTCTCCATGTGCTACTGCGTCTATTCGGTGGGCTATATCATTCGACTCTTTGCTGGCGCTGAGAGCATCGCCTGCGACAGGGACAGTGGACAACTGTATGTTATCCAGGAGGGTCTGGAGAGCACTGGCTGTACCTTAGTCTTCTTGGTACTTTACTACTTCGGCATGGCCAGCTCTTTATGGTGGGTGGTTCTCACCCTCACTTGGTTCCTGGCAGCCGGCAAGAAGTGGGGCCACGAGGCCATTGAAGCCAACAGCAGCTACTTTCACCTGGCAGCCTGGGCCATCCCGGCTGTGAAGACCATCTTGATCCTGGTGATGCGCCGTGTGGCAGGGGATGAGCTCACTGGTGTGTGTTATGTGGGCAGCATGGATGTCAATGCTCTGACTGGCTTCGTGCTGGTCCCGCTGGCTTGCTACCTGGTCATCGGCACTTCCTTCATCCTATCCGGCTTTGTGGCTTTATTCCATATCCGGAGGGTGATGAAAACAGGTGGGGAGAACACGGACAAACTAGAGAAGCTCATGGTACGCATCGGGGTCTTTTCCCTGCTTTACACTGTGCCGGCCACCTGTGTGATTGCCTGCTACTTCTATGAACGTCTGAACATGGACTACTGGAAAATGCTGGCCACCCAGCACAAGTGTAAGATGAACAATCAGACCAAGACACCTGATTGTCTGATGACCACCTCCATCCCTGCTGTGGAGGTCTTCATGGTCAAAGTGTCCATGCTCCTGGTGGTAGGCATCACCAGTGGGGTGTGGGTCTGGACTTCCAAGACCCTACAGTCCTGGCAACATGTGTGCAGCAGGGGGCTAAAGAGAAAGAGCCGGAGGAAACCAGCCAGTGTGGTCACTAGTGCCGGGATCTACAAAAAGGCACAGCACCCTCAAAAAACTCACCTTGGGAAGTATGAGCTTCCTGTCCAGCCTTCAGCCTGCGTGTAAAGGCCGCTGGTTGGGAGAACAGGACAGACAGAGCCCAATTGGGCTGCTCTTCTTGGCTGGGTGGCTGTTGTTTAAATCAAAGTAAAAAGTATATATATGCGTATCTATGTATATGTATATGTATATATACATATATATAAAGTCTACCTTGAAGTTCAGAACGATTTGACGTCCTGAACGTAAAGGTTCTGTTCTGTTTGCTGCCTCCTTGAAGGGTCACTCATTACAGAAGGAGTCTCTTGTGTAACTGACGTGTGGTAACGTAATCGATTCAAACATCCTCTGAAGAAAACTTTTGTTTAGGCCTCAAACACACATCTGTGTATTCAGGCTTTGCTGTCTGCTTACAAACTTGAGGTCGAATAACTCCTTTGCAAGCCAAAGAGGTTTTTTGGGGGGCTTGCAAATGAGCCACCCAAGGGCCCCTGCTCTTCCCTCTCCCAGCAAGGCTGCTGTATAGGGGTGGGGCGAGGAGGTGGACAAAAGAAAGGGACCCTGAGCCATCTCTACACGCCAAGGCCTGCAGGTCCCTTAAAGAGGGTCTCCTCCCCCCACCAGCCCTCATAGTTATTTTCTCCAACATAGACCCCCCCTAACCTAACACTGGAGAATTCAAATGGTGTGCAATACATTTTTTTTTACATTTCCCCCGTTCCCCATAAAAATAAAAGAGAAAAAAGTATTTTGTTGTAAATAAAAGACAACAAAAGAAATCATCTTTCAAAAGAATTAAGAGGCCCAAGCCTCAGAAAACCCTTCAGCCTGATACATTTTGTGGCTTTTTAATGGAAAACAAGCCAGCGTGTTCTACTCCTTGGGACTGATTTGTGGAGAGGAGAAGGGAGGGGAGGGGGAATCAGCGGAGAGCACCCAGAAGGCTTATTGACTCTCAGTTGTTAAACAAATGATTTCCATGAGTGGTCTCAAGCACTTGGCAAGACAAACTTTGTCTCCAGCCGGGGAGGGCGATGCCTGCCTCTGTATATCTGTAATATATGATATTTTTCATGCTCCACTATTTTATTAAAAATAAAAGACATTCTTTAGTTTGCTGCTAGTCACTGTGCCTCGATGAGGGAAATGTTCTCTATCTCCGGGCGGCCAGATTGTGGGTGCGTAAGGCTGGCTGGACTTTGCTGACAGTGCCTCGCCATGAACCTGGAGACAGGCAAGTTCTAAGGCTGGGAGAATGAAGCACCCTGGAGTTCAGAGGTATATGTGAAGGCAGTGGGTAAAGTTGGGGTGACTCCTGCCAGCTAGCCTTCATGGACATTGACTGCTGAGCCCATATGCACCCAGGAAGCTTCCCCCTCCCCCCTCCCCCCTCCCTCTCCCCCTCTAGAAACCAGCCGAGGACAGCCAGCAGTGTCTGCCTGATGCACTGTGTGCACCAGCCTGAATGGGCCATGGTACCGCAGCTCTGGGGCCATCGGGTGAGTTTTCAGAGCTGGCCAGGTTAAAGTGGCACTGAATGAGGTCACCAGCAACAAGGTCAGACGCTTGGCCCTCTCAAAGCTCCCAGCATCCTTTGTGCTCATCACTCAGACAGCTACAGGGCCTAGTGCAGACTCGGGGTCTTCTATACTAATGCGTGAACTCTGACCTCAATGGCTCTGATGCACTTGGGACAATTTGAGTGCTTCTGAAGCAAAGACTCAGTTTTAGCTTTCTGAAGCAACTGTCTGGAAGGAAGTGTCCCCCTCCAGCAAGATCAGGCCAGTAAAGGACCCAGAAAGGTTAGGGAAGTTTCACAGGGTCGTATGTACAAGAAGGACAGGTGACTTGAATGGTTTGGGAACAAGTTCTAGAAATCAGAATGCCAGGCAGCTGGGCCATCAGTGAACATAAAAACCCAGAATACAGAATCTTAGAAATAAAACCTCTATGTTGCCCCTCACCTCTAAAAGATGCTGAATGTGTGTGTGTGTGTGTGTGTGTGTGCCAGCTGGCCAGACTCAGACTTAATCTGTCTACCCTGAACTGTTGTGTGGTTAGTTGTGCAGACTTTGAAAGTCCATCCAGAGGAAAGCCAAGGCAAGAGCATGGATTCGGCCTTTCTTGTTCAGCTGTGAACCTGTTTCTCTATGGTTCCATCCCTACAGTGACAGGGATCTTGTGTGGCCAGGGCAAGTGTTCTTTTGCCACAGACCATGTGAGAGCAACCTGAGGCTTCTAGCACACATGTTTCTTGCACTCTCTTGTCCTGTCTCTCTGTCCGTCTCTATCAGCATCTGTCTGCCTCTTGCAGATGAACGCTGGACCGAGGCCAGACCAGATCACTGATTTAAAGGAAACCATAAGGTTTAAAAGTTAGAAAGCTGAAACCTGTGCACATATACAGGCATACACATGCACATACGCACACACAAACTTATCTTCGGGTCCCTCAGATCTGTACGGACCCCAGAAGGGAACTGTAGGCTTCATTCCAGGACCACAACATGACAGGTGGATCTGAGAAGTGACGCCGTTAGAAGGTGCCCAGAGAAGGTGAATGTCAAGGTCACACAGAACCCACTCAGCTGTTGGCTCTCCTACCACCTGTGGTTGCTCACAGGTTATGCAGGGAGCAGTGACTTCTGGAAACTTCAGCCTGGTACAGAAGACAGCAGCTCACATCTCTTGAGTTCCAAATACTGGGAAGGTGGTCTTGAGACAAGAGTGTCAACCAGACATAAATGACTGCAGAGCTTCAGTGAGGCAGCTGGGTCACTCAGAGGGCTAAGGGTAGAGAATAGAAACCCCATTGAGAAAGTGGCAGGCAGGGCCAGACTGGTGCCCCTCATATACCCAGCACCAAACAGAGTATCTTGTCCAGGCAGTATGGGCCACAGTGAATTAATGGGGATGGCAGCGGTGGCCACAGCCCAGGCAGGTGTGGGAACTTCTCTGGACCACTGATTTGAGAAGTGACTCCCTCAGTAGATGGGGGTGGGGGGAATCGGAGGTGGGGAAAATACAAGAAACACTGGGTTTCCATGTGTCTAATGTGTCTAGCCCTCTGATAAGCAAATTCAAGGTTCAGAGATGTCAGGAGTCCAACCCAAGGTCTCAGAGCTAAAGCCTCTAGAAGGCGCCGCTCCCAGCATAGCCTGTGAGCAGCTGCAGCGAGAAGGGAAGGGAGGGTGGGTCCTCTAGAAGAGCCTACAGGTTCACATGAGGTGGTATAAGAAGAGGTCAGTTGGAGATCAGAGGCTGAGACAGACCTTTCCAGAAACTCAGGAGGGAGGGGACATGGGAGTTGGGGGACATGAGAAGGGTCAGGTGGGGAGACACGAGGAGTGTGGGAAAGAAATGGCCTTGGACTCCAGGCTGCTCTCTCTCTCCTGTAGTACAATAGAAGATGACTTGAATAGATTCATCCCTGGTGAAAATTAGTGTCCCAGATGGGGACATGGAAGCTACCAGAGCCTCCCAATGGGGGATGAGCAGACTTACCTCTGCTCTCTATGTCCAACTCTGGGCCTCTAGAGGAAGACAGAATGAACCGGCAGGCTGGTGCTGGGCTACCCACCATGGAGCCCAGTCTTGTTGCCTCCAGACCCACATCACCATAGGAAGACCAAGATGTCTTCTCTGAACAGTAGAAAGACTCCTATTTCCCACATTCTTTTAGCTTAGAAGGATGAAAAAGGTACACAGGCAAGAGCAACTGAACCCAGTGAGAGATAGTATCTTACAGTTGAAAGTCGAGGACCACTTTCCAGGTCAGGGCTGAATAAGGCTTGCCTCTGCCATGCCCTGGCTTCCAGGGTCAATCAGCCAGGACCTGGTAAGTCTGGAAAGTGTCCTACCTCAGTTTCTTTGTCTGGAAGGTGTGCATGAGATGGTGCATGCTTCCTGGTACCTATACTCACTGAAACTAGTGTGTGTCTGTGTGTGTGCATGCATACACGTTTGTGCGTGTGCAAGGGTACACACGGACGGGTTTACAGGTGCATTTGGAGGCCAGAGGTGGACATCAGGCATCTTTCTCAATCATTGTTTTATTTGTTTCTTAAGATTTACTTACTTTTATCTTATACTTGTGGGTGTTTATTTTATTTATTTTTATTTTATAAACAAAAAAAGTGTTTTGCCTGCATGTCCGTCTGTCTGTGTGAGTTTGTCTAGTCCCCTGGAACTGAAATTGCAGACACTTGTGAGCTGCCATGTGGGTGCTGGGAACTGAACCCAAGTAGAAGAGCAGTCGGTGCCCTTAACCTCAGAGCCATCTCTCCAACCCCACACGTAGATGTTTTGCCTGCATGTGCGCATGTGTACCACGAGCACGCGGAGCCCCCTCGAGGCAGTGCCCCTCGAAGCCAGAGAAGGACGTCAGGTCCCTCGAAACTGAGATTACAGGTGTTTTGTGAACCGCCATGTGAGCGTGGGGAACTGATCCCAAGTCCTCTGGAAGAGCAGCCAATGTTCTTAATTGCTGAGCCATCTCTCCTTATTATTTGTTCTGGGGTTCTTCACTAAACCAGGGGATCACCAACTGGCTAGACTGACCCGCATGTTCCGACAATCCTCCTGTTTCTGCCTCTTTAGCCCTAGAATTATGAACACACACTGCTGCCCCCCAGTATTGACAGAGAGCTAAAGGTTCGAATTCCTCTGAAAGCTCCAGAAGACAGGATATGAATTCGGCACCACCCCCTGTGCAGCCCAGAGCCACAATGGAGAGGGCAGGGCCACTAATACGTTCATTGCCCCTCCCCCCCATAGAGTCAACCTTGCATTGCTAATGGTCTCCGAAGAGAACGAGCTATCTGTACGGGAACACTTTCCCGATGCCAGGCCCAGGATTTCCGAGAGTACCCTCTGATCTTGCAAGTGTAAAAGGCGGCGCAGCGGCTTCGCACGGTGAGGGGGGACCCTAGCTCTGTGACTTTGAACACCCTCACATCACAGTCACCTCCCAGCGAAAAGGGCTCTGTGCTGACTCCTCCCCGCACAAATGGATGGCTCAGCAGCAGCTTGGAGATGAGAAATGCAGACAGGCTGCAGGCGAGCCCTGGGATGACATGGGGCCGGGGGTTTTCATGTTTTATTAAGAGTGCGAAGGCCAAGCTGGGGGGAGGAGGGACGGAGGCGTTTGAAATCCAAAAAGAACGAGTTTCCATCAGGTAGGTGAGCTGTTGTAATTGGGGACACCCCTAGGAAAATGACACCGCTGAGTCCCTGGCAGATCCTCAGCAGCCTGTGGGAACTTTCAGAAGTCATCGTATCTTGCCTTTTATTAGGAGACATTTTTAATTAAAAAATGGGGATTCCCAGCCTCTCCTCCAGGGGCTTTAGTGTCTATGAAGGGATACAAAGCCATTCCTCGCCTGGCACGGGCCTCTGTCTAGAAGGCAGTTTCTTCTGGGAGTCTTTGGGGTAAAGTGCCCAGCCTGAGCACTAGACAGTATCTTAAAAACTCTTCTTTTTTTGAAAGACTTTCGGGTCTTTTAAAAGGACCCCAAAAAAGCAAGGCAGTGCATGCTCATAATTCTAGCATTTCAGAAGTTGAGGTAGATGGGTTACCAGTTCAAAGTCAGTCAGGGCTCCAAACGGAGACCCTGACTCAAAACAAGAAAAACACTCTCCCACAGTATCCCAAAAACCTGTGCATTTGTACTCAACACACACATAGTTGACTAGGTGCAGCATTTCCCCTGCCCTGCTGTGAGGCTACCATCAACCCACCAAGATCCCCTCTCTCAACAGGGTCCCATGAAGGCTGGCTTGGACTAAACCCGGAGGCAGAACTCAGGTCACTTGCTTTTCCTTATTTGACGTGGAATGAATCTATGATTAGGTTTGCTCTTCTTGGGAAACGTGTCTACACGTACAAGATGGATCACTGAAAGAGCAGACAAAGGTGGGCTGTAAAAACTTGCTGTCCCCCATAGTCGCCACTGAGAACCCACTGTTTTCCATCAGTGAAGGCCAGGGCTCTCCTGCCTTGGGCCTTCGCCTGCTTCCCAGGTGAACAACAGACACTAAAAAAAATGGCCCCACAGGGAGCAAAGGGATGCCTTGTTTATTCTGCACTCGCCTTCAGAGGGCTTTATTCTTTTCA